GAACTCCCTGAGGGCATAACTTGCGGAGTGACGTCAAGGAAGGGCGTGTCATGTGACTTCTCCGTACATTTCCGGGGAAGTTGAGTCGACCCTCGCTTCGCAAGGGCGCTGCCAGCTCGTGCGGCTTAGAGTAACTGTAGCCTATACAGTTACCCTTGTACGGCTGGTTCTCTGCGAGTGATGAGGAAGGAGCAAAAGGCGTCGTTGGATTTATCAACGCTGTTTGCTTCCGCCTTGCTTCGCGGCGGCTTGGCGTGGTATTTTGCCACTGGTCGCTGCTTCGTGTCGGAGTGACAGGTGAGGGGACAGGGCTCTCCAGGAGCTCGTCTCGGCCGCTCTCGTTTAGACTGCGAAGTGCCGATATACGAGCGCCGTTTTGTTTTTTCGTGTTGAAGGAAAACGGGCGCTATACGCCGGTACGCCTGAAGGCAGACGCCATTTCGAGTGCTTTTGTCTTGTGCACGGTCGCTGATACTTAAGTCCACATTAAATAAAAAGCCGGCTGTGTACTGTCCCGATCTGCTTTTATACTTGTTTGCTCAAGTTATAGCCTGGAGTTCTGAAAAAAAAATGTACACATCCATGTCTTCGTGCTCGATAACGCCGAAGCGCCCGACTTGTTCGCCATTGGGTTTAAAGGCTGCTACATTTACTTTGTAGCAAATAAAAGTTAACTCGATTGTTTACCGTCATAGATCAATTGCTGACAATAAGTTTCTAGATTGGATTCAAAGGCAGATAAATTTATCTTTTTGTTCTCGCTTAATATTGGTGGTAGCAAATCCTTGACGTTCTTAACCCACCATTCGAGGGTCTATTGAAGGTGGTCGGAATACTGGCTGCACCCGAAAACGTTTCGCGTGCCGGAGAAAGGGTTTTCTTACTAGCTCCAATAGTATTTTGATATTAGTTATAATCCCAATATGTTACTATTTTTCAACCGGTACAGCTCGCACCGGTGCATGTCCCGGTCGTTTACGAAGAGCGATATTTTTCTTTTTTTAGCAAAAGTTATATTTACACACGTAAAAACAGGGGGAGGGGGTAAGATCCAAACCTAAGCAATGAAGTAATATTTGATATGCGTGCATTGGGCGTGCGTGCACGAAAACAACCTTCCCCACCCATTCACGCATTGTATGTATCGAACAAAATCAACCTTGAAGAATTTTACACCATTTAATGAGGTTACATAACCGTGCCCTCCCCCTCTTTGAATATTGCGTGGATATCTGAAGTAATTTAAATATAAAAAGTAAAAGAATTTGCGCTTACACCACTAAGCCATAGTTTATTCATTCAAATTAGTGAACACAAATTTAGAACTATCTTGTGGCGAAAAATAATAAACTGTTTAAATAGAAAATACAATTGTTTATATAGTTTCGAAATATCTGTGTTCGACATATTGACCAGTTTGAACACAGGCTCACATTTTCTGAGCAGCGAGAACACTGAGGACGTCTGGCACCGCTGAAGATTTTATGTCAGGATTCATGAAGTATAATATTTTAAGAGGCACAAAATCGGTAGATTATTCTTTCTCGACACCATGCCAGCATGGCCTTGGAAAGAGGCATTCTTGTAATACGCTGCTAACAGAATTCTAAAACTACATATTGAGAGCTATAGACAAATATAAGCAAGTTGTGGCAATCTTCCGAGATTTTCGTAAAGCATTAGACACTGTACCACACGAACGTCTTGAGATTAAACTAGCATACCTAAATATAAGTCGCAATGTACAAAACTGGATAAAAAATTACCTAAACGGTCGCAGGCAGTCTGTTGTTGCAAATGGCAGTAAATAATCAATCATAAACGTAACATCGGGTGGGCCGCAGGGCAGTGTTATTAAGTCGTTGTTGTTTTTAATGCATATAAACGACATTCTAGCACAGTAAAACTATTTGCCGACGACTGTGTAATTTATAGATAAATAAATGCACCACAAGACTCCCGGGTATTGCAAAGTGACGTACATATCGTAGCTAACTGGTGCGATCAGTAGAATATGAATTTAAATATTGGGAAATGTAACCACCTTGCTTTCTCGAAGAGTTTTGTTTTCAGATTTTCAACAAGGTATACTATTAGAAAGCAGTGCCCTTTGCAGTATCTCTGACTTTAAATATATGGGCGTCTTTTAACCAGTCGCATAAATGAAATAAAAAAATAGTATACGCAATAATTAAGGCTAGTATAATATTATACTTCGTTCTAAAAAAAAATATTAAAGATGTTTCACGAGACGTTTAATAAACAGTTTATTTTTTACATGCAAGATAAATACTGGAGTACGGGTGGGTCATATGCATCCTTAGCTAGGTTACCTACTTCAGCGATTGGAAAAATGTCAACATCAAGCGGCATGGTTTGTTCGCAATAATTATGATCCACAGGCTAGTATTTTTGGGATGAAAGTCATGCTAGGTTAGGAATCATAGCAGATATAAAGACAAACATTCAGGTAGATCTTCATTTGTTACTAAATTTATTACGATAACACCGGCATTGATAAAAGCGAGTACCTTCTGGAGCTGACCTACGTTTGAGCACAATATCTTTATTCAAATTAAGTTTTTCGAATGTTCCTTTAAACACAAACAATTTGGTAATTCTTTTTTTTCTTTTGTTTTTTCTAAAAACGGTCAGAGATTGAACCATGCTGCCGCCTGAGCTGGTCACCATTATAGACAATAACTTAAAATTTATCGTTTGTAAAACTAAGGAGGTGAATGTTAACCTACTGTATTTTCCTCTGTTCCCTCTATAATAATGCCCTTGATCCGCTGTAGAAACTCTGTAAATGAATAAATAAATGATACGTTTCCAGGTTTCATTGGTATGGGCGATGCAACAGAAAATGTGAGCCGCGATAAAAAAAAAAAAAAGATAAAATACAATAATATGGCACGCACGAAGTTCTTCAATCGTTCAATCTTCCAGAGAACAAACATCCCCCAGGCAGTTATTTCAGGTAAAATAATTTGTTTGAACGACGATAAATATAAGGACATACTGTTTTGAAATAGTTGTACACTAAGGAGAAGTTCGCAATAATCTATGCAGAAACAAAATACGCATTCTTGTTTGGTGCGTGTTTCAAAAATAATAATTCACACCTGGACAAACAAAGCTGCAGACGCTCACGCCATCCTTGCACGAAGTTGTCGCGAATGCTTGAAACGAACAATGCACACCGTAAAGAGTACTTCTGCTCAGAACTCGCGATGATGCGCCTTTGTATCCCAACAAAGCGCTCCTTCTTCAAGCGCCAGTGCGCGGAAAAGGTCGAAGCGAATCGAACAAAATACAAAACAATTTTGCCGCTTGGCGACGTGACGGCTAAAGACGGCAGCGGCTGTGGCGGGGTTCTAGAAGCCGCTCAACGTGCGCAACACGAGCGCCAGCGTTGCGACTACGGTAAGGGCGAGAACTACTTCTGAGTGGTTCAGGTCGGTGAGTGAATTAGCTCATGAGTTCGATGACGGGTGTGAGTTCGTTTGATAAGTTCGGGGGGGGGGGGGGGGGGGGGAGGGGGGGGCGTGAATTAGTGACTTTGGTGAGTTCACGAGTTGGTGAGGCGCGTGAGTTCGTGAGATCGCTGAGTTGGGTCGGGGAGGGCTTGAGTTCGTGAGATCGCTGAGTTGGGTCGGTAAGGGGGTTGAGTTCGTGACTTCGGTGAGTCCACGAGTTAATGAGATCCTGGGTGAGGACTTGAAATAAGGTCAGTGTGGCCATGAGGGTGACGGTGTGTGGGTTCTTTTTTATTTTGAACTGGCTGTAACTGAGTTCAACTAAAAATGCCGACCTCTGGTTACATGACGTCGTGGTGTTACAACGTAACGTAGTAGTGTCCAGATTTGCCCCACGGTGTCACATGACGTTGTGGTGTTAAGTGGGGTCGTGGTGTTACATTGCGCCATAGTGCCACGTGACGCTATGGGGTCACGTAACGTTATAGTGTTATGCCATGTCATTATGTTACATAATATAATATTGTCACCAGTGACTAACGTTGACGTTAGGGCTAGGTAATATTTCAGTTAAAAATTAAAAAAAAAGAGTTAAGAGAGACGGACAAGAAAGAGAAGGCAGATGAACGACAGCGCTGACTTACAACTGTAGTTTATTTGTGCTAACATCGAGTGCAAATACTGCAACGCCAAGCAAACAAACCGAGAAGAAGAAAAAACATAGAAAGGACACATTGTTCCAGGGCATCTAAGAAGAAACGTTCTTTATCTCACAGAGACAGGGACGGTGCGCTGACACAGTTTGGCCCTTTGGTCAAGAGTGACTCGTAAATCCTCCTCCGACGTTCTTCGTGGTATAACAACGTTCGCATTTAGTTTGGGGGGGGGGGGGGGGGGGGGTTGCTCGCGTCGAAGGGTCTCCTGTTCCTGAACTGTCTTCAAGCGATTTTTTTGCTCGCTGAACCCGTGCACGTCACACACGGATATGTGTTTTTCCTTGAACACGCCCGCGAAACGTTTCCCGAAGAATTGTATGCGTTTTTGATGAGTTCTTCTCAATTTGCACGTTCAATTCGATGCACTGCCAGTAAGGTGAAAGTTATAAAACACCCCCTAAACAAATAAAAAAATAGCAGTTTGGAATCGCTTTCGCTCTGCACGATTAATTTTAACCTAATCACTGGCAAAGCGGCCAGGAAGGGCAACTCGGGCTTTCTACCGGAGTGTTTTCGTAGGTCGTTTGTCTCCCTCCGCCACGTTGGCCCACAACGAAGGCGCGGCTACTGCGCATGCGCGCCACTAGCCTTGTCTGCAGACTTGCGAGACTCGTTGCGGGTTTTGGAGAGCGTTGCGGGGCATCGGAAACGATGTAGGAAAACTCCTTGCTGCGGTGCAGCGTATCGTTACTGTTCAGTGTTGCCAGAATGTTTAGATGCTTCCTACATGTTAGGTAATCACGCCTGTAAAAAAAAAACACATAAAAATGAATTTTTAGATAAGAAATGGCTCTGGTATCTGCAGTGACGGCGCTGACGTGCAGCGTGCTGACGCTGTCGGCCATCTCGTGCGACCGGTTCACGGCCATCATGTACCCGTTCCACGCACGGATCACCAAGCAGCGCACGGGAGGAGTCCTGGCCTCCGTCTGGCTCATCTCGGCCGCCGTCGCGTCGCCGCTACTCATGTACACCACGCCCTACACCGTTCAGGTAAGACCGGCAAGACTGCGCTAGATCTTGAACGCCGACGCACCGGTGCTTCACTTGTGGGAGAAGGGACCCTAGACTGCGTCATCGTCTATAATGGAGACCCTCTCAAGGTGCCCGCAAGCAAAAACTTCGGATCTGGACGGCATGAACTTGTCACTAGACGCCGTTCACCGATAACGTAACAGGGCGGTGGAAACTACGTGTTCGTTGGACCAGCCAATCGTCAAACAGGTATTTCGCGATCGTGCTTTTGCGCATACTGCCCCGTAGAGAGAGGAGTCAGGCGATTGGTTGGTCGAGAGAGGACGATGCTTCCACCGTTCAGTCAGCTTAGTGGTGAGCACAATCTTCTATTTTTGGCCTCCTGTTGAAAGTGGAAGATATTTGAGAGAAACACCAAAAGAGGAAAAGCATTTACAATGGAAAGTCACGTCCTCACGATTCTTCCAAAACAACAGCGAAATAATTGCGAGCGTCGAACTTCTTTCCCTTTTTAAATTTTAAACTTAAATTTTTTTGGTTCTTTTTACATCTTCATCAACAGGCCTTCCGATCATGGCAAACTTTTGTACACAATAGATCCAAATTTCAGTAAACGTTGACAAACAAATACGCAACCATGTCAGGACGGCTGTACATGAAAATTTTACTGCCGACAGAAGGAGAGCGCAATCCAGAAGAAAGAAACTATACAAAGGTAACCAATTGAGCTGGTTGGGAAACGTCCCACATGATGGGAATAAACAGCGCAGAAAACACAAACGAATAAAAGCCGCAGTCACGACAGGACAAAGCCGCATTCTCGTAAACTCTCGTATTTTGTGCATTCTAAAGGTTCATCTCTTCATTCGCAGTGGACCGATGTGCGGTTAACGTACTGCGGAGAGAGCTGGCCACAGCGAGTTGTCTTCGACGAGGCGACCGGGGTCTGCGTTGCCCGATCCGCGTCCAAGCAGCTCTACTACACAGCCGTCACTGTGGCGCTTTTCTTCGTGCCCGTGTTCGTCATGAGCTCCGCGTACGCCCTCATTCTGCACGCGCTCTGGAGAGAGCGACATCCCGGAGAAGCCAACGCCAACAACACTCTTCTGTATACAAGAGCCAAAAGAAAGGTGAAGTGAGCGCGCTCTTGCAATTTCTTGTGCTTCAAATTTGTCTAAAAACACCTACTCGTAGAGGCAATAAACCCCAACTAAACGCATGCTCTCTGAATCGTTTGAGGTGATATTGTGTTAGGTTGAGCGTCAGTAGATTCCAGGAGGAATAAACTCTTCGTAATCTCAATATAATACGTAATTCTATCTATGAACTCAATTTTATCGCGGTATGAATATTTTTCTTCTTACTAATTATGTTCGCTATGAGATCGCGCAACTTAACTATATCGTAAAATTGTGCAGTCCGCCGTTGTGACACGCTACAACCATAAGTGTGTGACGTTACATTATGTTGTTGTTTTCTCTGGAAGAATTTTAGTTCGGGGATTTTTACCAAGGGTGTTTGTAAAGATTACTCGCTCTAAGAAGAAACTCATCTCCGAAAGTATATTGCAGAAAGAGGCTGGAGGCCCGTTTGAGGTGCGCATCAGCGGGATGGCAGTACGGGGCGGTTGGTTGGCACCAGATTGCGGAGGAATAAATGACCCCAGCATCGTCACGCCCGCTTCGGACGCATTATATATTTAGAACTAAACTCCTACGAACATCAGAAGCGAACATTCATCACCCCGGTATCGTGATACATCAATAATAAACGTCTACGGTGACCGAGAACCTGCGTCGGTGACAGGTGATATTTTCTCGTTGGGAATCACCAATGGTTGCTTAGATTTATTACTGGTGTCAGGCAGCATGGTGTCTTGAATGTGACCATTACAGGGAAAGGATGCTCTGCGACAGTAAAAAAACATTGGCGCTATGAAGTCTGCCAGAGAAATATCGATCCTGGTGCCGCATCAAGCTTCCTTCCCACTCCACCGGTGGCTTAGTTTATGATGCAAAGCTAGGAGGAGTGTTGATAAAGAGAACCAGTCCTTCTCGTCGGCAGGGTGTAGGAGGCACGAAGCGCACGTGCCAAAATTGCTCCTCAGGCATGAGTTAAGTGCTATTTTGAGGAGGCTTGGTGGGCGTGGCAGCACCTCTGTTTGGTTTGATATAAGCCACATAATTTACGGCAGAAGGAAGTTGGCCCAAATTTTTACGAGCCGCGGCGGTCACTTAAAGGGGACTTTTAACCAGCCGGTCGTTTTAGGCTCTGGCGTTAAGTAAGCAGAGAGAGTAAGGTTATTAAGACCGAGACAACTTTTCCTCCATAAAACCTACGCTCTTTTGGAAAGGCAGGCAATCTACGGAAAAACGTAGTGTTATTCCAAGACCTCCTTTTCTGGTCAATGTAGGAAGCTAAACTGACACCAGTTCCCCGCTCAAAGATTTATCGTAAGAAATAACGACGCAATTCTCCGAGAATTGAATCTCCCTTCTCTTTTTCTTTCTCGTACCCTTTCATCTGCTGGAGGTTACCACATGGTCTCCCTCTTGCGTTTGTCGATGTTGGCGTTACAATAAAATCATCAAGAGAGCCACGACGACCGAAGTTTCAAAGAAATAAAGAACACAAAATAACGCGAGCGGCAAACGTATCTTTGTTGCGCATGGGTTTCATGACTTTGACAATGCCAGAAACAAATATTCAAAACGCTCCACAGAAAAGAGTGCAAAAGAAAGCGAGAGCGTTATAAGATGACGCTTCTTTTCTGTGTAAGACTTAAGACCATCTCCGTGAAATTTTTTCTCAAGTTTAATATCAATATATTACAAAAACAAAAATGGTATAATACCCCTCCCCATGTAGGCCGTTGAGCCCTTCTCACGGTAGGCATTAACGTTTGTTCATTTATTCAATATCGATATGGCCACTTTAAACTATACAGAAAGAACGACGTTTAAGGTCTTATATCTAACACCAGAAACATGATGCTATGGTATTGACCCATGTGATACTAATGCTTCTTGGTCTTTATGGGAATAAGTTTCCTCCACATTTAGGTCGTAAGATACCATCAAATGAGGTGCCTATATTGTAAGACATTTTCCAACAAATGCAGTCGGTCTCCGTTTCGTGATAACAATATAAAATACCACTTCGTTTTCTTTCTCTAAGTCATCTCGATAAAACGTTTTCTCGTGTGTTGAGAGAGTTAAAAAGCAGAGGGCATGGTTTAGAGGCGCATAAAACGACCACATTAACATAAACGTGTGCTACTCTCCGGGTACTGTGTCGTTATTGGCACTGTACAGAGACGCTATTTATCATGTATCCGTTCCTGTTCCTACTTTCTCTTTTTCTTGTTCTGTCTTGTGTTTTTCTCTTGCTTTCAATTGGCTTCTTAGATAGCAGAATGAAGCGCCATACATCGACAAGTTGTTCCACACAAGCCTTGAATTATAAGATATAGAAGGGACGAGCACACGTTGTCTTTTTTTTTAGGTAGTTAGACAAACGTAATGTAAAATCCTTCACTATAGGAATAAAAAGGCGTCGCTTGTCGGTTGTGTTCCGTGATAATTTAAATGAAGCTATCAGAAAGTCTCTGCGAAACCTAAGCTGCTTATATACTGTTTGAATAAACCACCGAAGGACCATTCATGTCCTTCTGAGGTTCTGCCTCATAGCTGTTTCACTAGCATTTAAAGGCCTCTAAGTCGAAGGCATTTATAGAATTGACGAATCAAATTGCAATTCAGATTCTGCGTTTGCACCTCGGCATGCGCGGGTTGGCTCATACATAACGGCTAAATAAAAAAAAAAAAAAAATTGACCTACCCTTTATGGGCTGGGCAATTTATCTGTTAGCCTGAAGATTAATCAATTAACGCTTTAATCGTGATTAATTGTCAACCGGTACCGGTTGTGATCACAGTTGGAAATTTTTTAGGGAAGGTAAAATTCTTGCTTTAATACTTCGTACACGTTTTCCCATTTTAAAAGACAGCCTGGTTGCTTTGTATGGTAATATATTTCAGAATTGCCTATGATTACAATTAAGAGAGACTGGGACATTATAAAAAAGTAACAAGAAAAATTATATTATGATTGAATTGTTTGACTTTTTTATTTTTTGGAGTGTAGAGCATAAAGTGCCAGTGAAGCTGTACATTCCTTCATTGTAAACAGAGAATTATAGTAACAAAAATGTGTGTAATGTTGACACTTCTTTTATAAGCATTTTACTAAAGGTGAATGCCAACGATCGATCCATTTATTAAATTATTAGAATGTAGCGTTTAATTGGCTTACAATTTTTAATCGATGCCCAGTCCTAGTCCGAATTCGTTTGAAATATTCCTGAAGCCAAACAAGTTATGGTCGAGTTCAAGAAATACACTCTATTGAATCCTGTTTATTTCTTAGCGCGGGTAAGTGGAAAGACTAATGGACGCAATGATCTTCAAAATTCCAACAATTCTGTACTTTTTCGGGGAACTTTTACAGTTTGTATTTTGTCAGCATGGGACTGGGATGAACAAGACCAAAATGATCAAACTTCTGGGAAAGTTACTAGGAAATTCTATGCGCTTTGAAATATATGCTTACAAATTTTTGTGGAAATGCGATTTTCGTAGCCCAAAACATATTGCAAGAAGTACCGGCGTACTCGTGGGCCTGCATGCGTGGCGTTTGCCAATGCTTATAATTTTTTTAATGTTTACATTGTCTTCTAGGATGTAAGCTAAATATCATACTTTACTTGCCAAGTGATCGCAATGCGCACGTAAATGTGTGAAATATGAAATTTGTAGTTCAGCGACGGCGTTGTCTTTGATTATTAATATTAAGAAGACTCCATATTGAGACACACCTAAAATGGTGCAAATGCTCCCACAAACTGAGCAACGTAAAAAACAAAGAGACAATCATACAAGGAGTTTTTGTTTTACTCATTATTTTTTCTATTTCTCAATCTTAGCTTCTTGTAATATTAAATTTACAACAGCAAGGTTGTTTTTAAGTATCAGCATAATTGTTTTTATCCTGAATTTCTATGGCATCACAAAATGCGTTGGTAAACCTGGAAAAAATATCCCTCGCGAATATTTAATCAAGAAAAGAAAAAAACGTGGAAGTCACTGAAATTAGTAAAAATCACTTGGAATATGGTTCATCTAGTACATCGAGGCAAAAACGTCCGACTTATCTGCTGCTGATACGGTTCATAAAACTACGGCTTGGAAGATAACAAAGAGATAATAAACACAAAATTATAGAGCACAAAAACAAACAAAACTAAAACAGGTAAAGTAAAACATTGAATTATGGTGGGTTTTAAAAAGCAGAGGCGGGGGTAGAACTGATGGTATCATTTGAATTTGCATCTTATTCAGTGTAACAAATTCAGCAATTTTCCATATACATCCCGCAGCTTTCTGAGTTGTCTAGCGGGAGAAATGGTGTTTTGCGGGCGGCGAGATTTTAGCAGTTTTCAAGTCCTTAGCGTTTTCTTTTTTGGTGGTCTTCAATGTTCTCTGCATTACAGCTATGTACCACAAATAACCTTATTTATGTGGTAAGTTAGAGCCATATCGTCGTCATTCATGCTTACTGGCAAACAAATTGTTGTCAGGGAGTGTAACAGTCGTGACGCCATTGAAATATTACAGTGACAAACCTCGATACATGCCTTCAACTGATTTGTGTGTAAATGTATTAATTAGTTTTATAAGTCTGCCAGAAGCCTGTGAACTCTGCTAAATAAACAACATGGGAGCAGTAGGATTTTAAACTTCGAGACCGGTTACTCACAGCTTCAAGCACCGTTACACGATTCACATGCCTTGTAAAATAGACTTTTTTTCAAAGCATGTGATCTTGGTCACTGAAACTTCGAACTGCCACAAACTGTGCACGAAACATCTGAACCATTGTGGTGTACGTCGGCAGGAACGGCAGACAAAACACCTGGTGAGACCTGGTAACAGTAATAAGATCTTATAATGGACATCATACTGTGCATAGAAGCAATTTGCGGCGAGCAACGTAGCTGTCTTTTCAGGGTTCTTTTATTTATTCCACTTTTTTAGATTAATTACAGCAGTAAATTGCGTGCGCCTAAACTTTAGCGGTTTGCTGTGGTTTTTCGGGATTCACACAGCGGGTTTTTGTTTGTTTTTTGAATTGGAAACACTGATTTTAACTCTTGTTTTAACTCTGTACCTTGGGTGGACGGCACACATATCTGGGTATAGCAATCCAGACAGGAGATCACTACGTCCTAGAACTCCAGATAAGCTCAAGACAAAGACCAGGCGGAACAAGGGCATATCAACGGCCAGGGCCCTCTGGGGTTATGACCCATATGAGGTCACAAAAACAGTCTCGAGGATGAAGATGGTTCCGGGACTTACGTTCGACAACGATGTGTTGTGCTAGTCATAAGGCACCCGCAAATACCTTTAGGTGCACCTGTATAAGGTGGTAAGGTCGGCACTGGGAGCGAGCCGAACGGCATCGAACGAGTCCGTCGGATGAGATATGGCTGGTTCATTGTTGAGGCCGGGGAGGCCCGAAGCAAACTGGGCTTAAAGCAACGCCTGATCTGTAGGCGCGAAGAGCGTTGGGCCAGACAAGCCTTCAAATGCGTGCATCTTCGGCGCGTCCAAACAGGGTGGGTACGACGAACACGCCAGCTGCCAGAGTGATATAAAGCCAGCAGCCCTCTTCTCTGCCCGGCTTCAGAGCAGCCGGAGCAGCAGCAGAGCATCCGCAGAAGGGTGGCTCGGAGAAGAGCAGTATATAGAGAAAGTTCGGTCAATGGGAGGAGCGGGCAGAGCCAGGACGTGCACCAGAGACAGAAAGAGGGCGACATGCTCTCTTGGCCGAACAGAAGCCGAAAATAATCCCCTAGCCGTGGTAGCGAGAAATAATTTCCATAAGCGCGTAAGAGTTAATTATAGTAACCCTTCATGATTGAAAATATGTGAACGTGATGTTTCTATTATGATCATGCAAAAATATGTAAGAATCGAATGTGCCGTTTGAGCTCTGTTTTGCTCGGACGGAGTCTGACGCTCAGACAAAAGATTCCCGACCCTCGGCACCTCACGTGCGGATTACGTCGATTGTTCTGCTAGACTTTCATTTTGCAAGATCGTGATAAAAAATATATATATATATATCTTAAGTCAACCTACTTCCAGTGACAGTTCGCCTCATGTACAAATATAACCAGAAAATGCTCATGCCATCCAGGGATGAAGCTGTATGTCGACAAATGTCCCAACATACAGTCTCTAATTTTCTTGTTCTGGCCCAGATGATGAACTGCCTCTTAAGTTTTCTTACTTTATCCCCCTGGTTACTGATGGTACTTGTCTCGAGCGTCCGGCCATCGAAGCTAGCTTGCCATGTCCATGGCCCTCAGAGCATTCTCTTTAATTCTCCGGGGAATTACTGGAACAAGAAAGTAACAGCTTGTTGTAAATGGACGAAGTTACACACACCTTAAACTTCTAAATTAGAGAAGTAATGCGGATCTTACTGCTTGACGTGATAAATGACGTCTGAAGCCTCACGACGGAGGGGCTTGATGCACGTTGAACGACGGGTGTGAGATGCTGCCATACCCACAGGGTATCCTGGTGATAGAAAGAAGGCGGGCTTGAGTCCCAGAAACTGGTATGTTCGAGGAACATTGTTTTAGAGGTACCTTCCCATTCCCTTAGGGGTACCTCCGTCCGGATAGTCAATTCAGAGGTGCGTTTCACGTATGCAGTCCACTTGCCTAGCCTGTTTGTAGATATTGTGGGAATCACGTGTTCCCCGCATCCCTATCTGTAGGCCTAGATCAGGCAGACCTTGGGGGGTTGCCATGTCAGGGCGCATCCCGGATGAGAGGCGAGGCCATATTCCCTTGTGGACGGCTCTCCCTCCCCCTTCTCGATGATCTGCCGAAAGCACTCTCTTCGGGATGTTGATACTTGGACACGTCCGCCTCTCCGGGGAGCCAATGTACTTCCGACCCCCCCCCCCTTCGATGGGGTCGTTATTGCCGCGAGGGTGACCGAGAAACGAAACCTATCGCTTTCTCAGTTCGGTGATCGTCGGAGGATCACTAATTATTACACGTTACTGCGAAATTCGGAATGGAATTCACAAGGGCCTTACCGGCGAAACGAAATTTCCGCAGATGATCTGCCGGTGCGATTTTTGCAGCCACTCACGACGCAAAGCCCCACCACGGCGATGCGTGACGCCACACACTTTCGTTTCGCCGCCCTGAATGCTCTGATGCTCCATCGTGCCGTGCGTCTGCTTGCGATTGTACACCGCACAAAGCAAACGCAAAGCAACGTCACGGTGACCTCACAGTGTTTTACAAAATTCTGTTGATGTTTACATTCTCCTTATTTACGTTTTTTTATGACGAGGAATCACAAAAATGACGTCATGCCCTCTCCATGTCTTCTTACCTCCTTGGTTGTATTTGAGCACGCTTCCATCCGGTGGGGTTTACGTGAGCGAAGCGAAGTCGAGGTGGGCGAGGCATCTCGATCGGCACCGAGGAGCAAACGACGGACCTCGATCAGCTCGTTTCGGCTCGTTGTGCGTCCGGAAGGTTTTGCAAAACAAAACTCCAGGAGCGGAGAGGTACGCGATGTGTCAGCTGTGCGCACCGGACTACTGCGCTCGCTCCGTCTGGTATAGGTTTAAAAAAAGCAGCGTGGAGGCAAGACCGGCGAGACGTGCGAGGCCTTGGTCGGCGGACCATGGACCACGACAAGAGGACGACCTAAGCCGCTGAGCAGTTTGGCCAAAACAAAAGCGTGTGGCGTTGCCTAGACCAAGATGAGGCTTTGCATTGTGAACGGCTGCAGAAACCTTCCGCGGCGAGTTTCGTTCACCAGTACGCCCCGGTTGGATTGCGTGCTGAACTTCGCGGCAGCGTGAACTTATAAGCGGTTCTCTTAGATTTCCGAGATCGAACGGAGCTGCTCAAACGATGGATTTTGGCCCTTTGTTGACTTCCTCGAAGTGGAGTATCGTTCGCTTCAAATCTGATGACTTCGACAGTCGCGTCAGGTGTGTCCCCGCTCAAATTGAGTTGATGACCCAACGCTGGTAACGACATATATTCATGAGACTGCCTGGTCAAACTCAACTGCGTGGTTCAATATTCGTTGCGATGCCTGCCAGGAACAGTCCCAACCGCATCGTGAACTTATTTGGCTCTGATCAAAATCTAAATCTAAATGTAAATTGATCCCTTCCCAGTTTTTTAGCTTGTGAGCACCTCAGCATGGCGCACTCTAATTAAATATTTTTTCGCTCGTTGTGAAAATTTTAGTGGCAACAAATTTCCTCGAAGGTTGGTTTACTGACGGTGGTTTACTTAGAAAGAAATTAATAAAAATAAACGTTAGTTATGAATTTATTGACAAACAAAAACTTCGAGCACCATGTTGGCTTATTGTCATTGGGTGTATATGAAAGTTTCAGGTTTGTCAAATTTATAGCTTTCTTTCACGCTGAAATATTGCGAATAAAAATATTGATATTGATATTATCAAATACTTAACTTGTTAACAATCATTTTGATAACAAACCTGCTCGCATTTCAAGAAACACAAGGAAAATTTTAGCCGCCCGCTGTTAGTAAAAGTACGTTGCCTGGAGCGCGCTTCCGTCTGGTTTGTTTAGTGTCCTATTTTACCCATGTATCGAAAGTGGTCTATAAGTGGCAATATATGACGTCACAAAAGCAGGAGTGCCATACTGTCAGATGTCGCGATCCTGGCTGCTGGTCTTAGATATTCTGGCAAAAAGCACGAGCAATCGCGAGTGTCGCCGTCGTCGCAGCGTCCCAACCCCTGGCTGCTAAAGCGTCCGCGGACTGTCAAGCTGGAGAGTAACCTGCAGCGAACAGGCGTCTGCCACATCCCCCACCGCTGCTGTAACGCCACCAGGGTCGCGGCCGGCGACAGCGTCACACTTCTATGACGTCATTAGGCAATAATTGAGGGGCCGCTTTTTTGGACGCGGTCAACACACCAGTCGTGGACGGGTTCCAGGCACCATAGTATGGTAGCTATGCGTGGTTTCTAAGCGGAGAGCAAGTCTTCTGCTTCTCACGCAGGGGTTGCAGTGGCGTCAGAACGACTCCGACTTCTGATTGGCTTTGATTGGAAGGATAGTGGGTAGACATTCAAAGCCAGATGCTTTGAGGTCTTGCACTAATTTGTTTTTTGATCAGCCAATAAGAGCTTGGCGTTCTGACATCATCGCAATCCTTGTGCAAGAATCGGACGAACTTGCGTTCCGTATACACCAACGCGCGGCTCTGACGTGAGGCCCCTGCGCAGACGCTTCACATCCTTCTTATCTCCTTTGTGCGCATGCGCAGTGCCCGCACCTGGTGTGAGTTTACGTGGGCTTGTTTGTAAACGGTGCGTTGGACTGGACGAGCGTCCCCCCTTAACGTTTATTTATGCCGGTGTTTTTATTTTGTGCGCATTTTTCAGGTGGTGAAGTTGGTGTGCGTGGTGCTCATTGTGTTCGTCCTGTGTTGGATGCCCTTTCAAGTCATTGTGCTCTTCTCTCAGTTCAGGGACAACGGTCTCCATAGCCAACCGGTGAGCAGTGCCTAACCTTTATTTTACCTTCGTGCGTTATATAACCTTAGTACAGCAGACGTTTCACAAAGGTTTGACGCAGCTTCTTTTTCTTATTTTCGCGGTAGCTGATAGCTACGCTTCTCCGTAAGAGGTTTCAGTCACTCAACTGGTCAGTAAGCTAATATTTTACACTGTGCGAGTTTACTAGCAAGTAGACAAAATGGTTATTCAGAACGGCAAGAATGCATTATAATTTCCTATTCCCTTCTTCAGATCTGTTTAATTGGAAATAAGTTAGTTTAATTCAGTTTTGAGATCTTATGAGCTTGCAAAATTGCTATTTTAGATTTTGTACATTATTTATGTTCAAATATTTACCGTACACCCTGAGTTTGTTGTAAATTATTTTGTTTTCTTTTTAGTGAGACTGCAAGTAGTTTTTTTTTATTTTAATCTGCTAGGTTAATAAGTCTGTGAATTTAGGCTCCGAGTAAACCGTATATGCCAAAATTTATTATATACGCGTGTATATCGATGTTAGACTTTATTTGTGTTTCTATGTACCATACAAATGTTTACGCTAATTTAAACCAACTCTAATCAACGGGAAGTTAACTATTACTGCACCTCTTGAAGGCGGACGCATTTCTGAACTATACTGCGGACCAGTCACGTCTTACATTGACTCTCATTCACTGTTTGTGGGCACGTTTCTGGGTTGCACTTAGAGGTTCAGGGAATCATTTAACTTCATTATGCATTCATCGGTTTCAAATTAGACGTTATTGCATTTTTTCTCGTTCTCATTACCCCATTCCATCGGTTGCGCGGGTTCTAAGGTTTCAAACTAATAAACTAGACGCGCAAAATCAACATCGTCTTTGTATGTAGTGGGACCGAAAGAATGCTCGACCTAGTGAGAAAGCAGCAAGAGGCAAGTGGAAACAATCGACCCCCCAAAGGACGAGGCAATTAAGAATGAATGAACGCCTAATAGCCTGGCACCGGGAAAATGGACGAGCAATCGATGCTGCGTCTTCTTTTACGCCCTTGTACCTCTCGGAGTATGGATGGCCGAGCGTGCCGAGAGTCAACACTGCTGCCAATGAAGTCATGGCAAGATCGATGGTCGTCTATGTGAGATTCGATCCGGGTAACCTTTTTTCAGGCAATCTTCGGTGATCAGCGAGTGCTCCACTCTCAAGGTATCGGGGCAGTAATTCAGTGTTGAAGGAATTTAATTTTCGGAGCTTGTGAGATACTGGAAATTTTACTAATGTGAATGATATTTGCCTCCTGCGGGAAGCTCAGCTTGTTTGGGAACAAAACGTGCTGCTTAATTGAATAAAACGGTAGGTTATCTTTCCGAATATGCCAGCTGTGACTCGCGTGTTCGGAAGTGTGGCGGCGGTGCCAGTTGAGTCGTGAAGCTTTTCTTGCGACTGTCCTCGTTTTTGAGAGCCGTCTTTTTAACGCATCGCAAGCTTATCTGTAGCGCGAGGCGTCTGGAACGTGTAAAACTATTTTGTTTGGAAGGTGAGTTAAATGTAACCTCAAAAAGTTGTTCTTGTAAACATTTTTATAAAATGGAAAAGGTGAGGGGGGATAAGGGTAGAAAAAAATTGAGGAGTTGACTGGGTGCCTCTTGTCCGAGGCTCCAGTTACCTTGAGTGCTGCCGTGGCTCTCTTGACAAGCGTCTTCCGCTTGTTCGACTCTTCACTTCGCAGCATGAATGCCCAATCCTCTTCACGTTCAGAAAGAACAAAAATACTGACCAAAACTAGTCATCATAAAAATACATATCTTGCTAGCGGTCTCACTTCTGTGGCGACAAGTGAACTGGCACCGCAGCCTTAATTTAACATGACACCTCAGCAGAGCCTATTAAGATGCTTGTGATTGAACTCCTAGTACAGAGCGAATAAAAAAAAGCACGAAAATAGCTATTGTTACGCAATAGAACCACGTACAATCACACTAATTTAATTAAGCGTACAGTTTTTTTGACAACTAACAAAGAACGCTTCACTACTTTCCAACCAACTGTTTCACGATTTATGTCGTTTTTCTCGTAATTTTATGTAAGGACAATTTAGAGAAAGCTCCGAGGTTAACAATATAAAATACACAATATGAGAAACTGGAACCTCTACGAACAATAAATGCTCTCAAATTTATGTTCATTTTATTGTACACAACAAATAACGCGTTCCAATGAGGCTGCATCACCTCGATTTCAGTCTCCCTCAAAGAAACACTGCAAGGAAAAAAAAACTTTTTTTAAAGTGCACAGATGGGACAAATATTTTTAAAATAACTTTTCCAGGAAAAGAAATATTTTTCGCGCATTATTTACGTTGTTAGACGGAATTTATGAGCAGACGGTTGAGGTCGGAGCCCGCTAAGCCCCACCCCTTTCTTAGAAAATGCTTGCATTTCTCATGGGTTGGAGAGAGGATGACGTGTGTAAAAAGTTGGTTGTAAATTATTTTTCAATCTTTTTTGTAGGAGTAATTTAAGTCAATCATCAGTGTAGATCGAAGTGTCTTCTTTTTATTTTTCTGAGTTTTATCTAATTTGTCACTTCGCTCGCATCTTTCGCGACCTTTAGTGTAAATTTTCATCGCATTTGTCACTTAGTTTACCTTTTCCACGATACATACAGTAAATACTTAGTTGTGAGTAGCGTGCCTTCCTATCTCGTTCGCCCTCCTGTGTTGTATTTGCGCTACATTGTTATTATGCAAAACCAACTAGCCCAACAGCTCATTTTTATACTAAGCCTAGCGTCCCAGAATCGCTAGGCTGTACATTCCAGAAAAAGGTCATGGAAGTGACATAAAGAAAGGGAAGAACTATCCTAGCAACACACGCGACGCGGCTCTGCCCTCTTCGATGCCTCCACGTCATCGCGTACTTGACGCTGTTGTGACCGAAGAGTTCTTTAGGCAGCCTCAAAGAGGGCCAGACCAGGACCGGAACCGGAATCGCAGGACGACTTCAGGCAGGAAAATCACGAGACGGGAGGGTCTCTCGCGATAAACTCTGTTGAATACATGTATACAAAGGTATCTACATCGTCCAAGAGCACACTTGCGACCTCCTGTTCGCTCCTTTTATCGGGTCGCTGTTTGGTACTTCAGCGGTTGGCATCCAATGGTGGCCGAACTGCCAACCAACGTCATTTCTAGGCCCCGCTCCCACTCATCCCCTCAAGCACGCACCCACCCACACGCACACACTGCAGTGGCGGCCGGACTTCACATTCCGGCGCCGAGGCACTGTCAGCCTTGATAAGCCGCGCCGAGGAGGCCACGACAAAGCGTCCACTGTCAGCCCGTGAGATGATGACCGAGATAGTGATGATCCCTCCATTAGGCGGCGTCTTGGCACAGGAAAGGGTTTCGCTGGATTATCCGCAAGTAGCGGCAGAGGATAATCCGAGCCGAACACCCTCTCACGAAGCTCCCGCAGCTGGCGCGCCGTCGCCCGGAATCTTCGCCCGGTAAACCCCCGGTTCCTGCGTCGACTGACACCGCCTCGGGCCAACGTAATCGCACCCAGAAAGAAGGGTCCGGCTCAGCCTCGCGCCTAGGTGTGGCGACGGCAGCACGGTTCGGGGGGATGTCGCTCGTCAATAGAGTTTTAGCAGATCGTTTTTTCGCCCCGATAACGATACCTCCTCTCCCTTCCGGCGGCTTTGGGCATGCATCTTATCGTTATCGGGTGGCGTTATCGAGACGAAAAAACGATCTGCTAAAACTCTCTATTAGAGAGTTTTCGTAGACCGCGTTCAGCCTCCGCTAAGCACTTCGCAACGAAGAAACCACTCCTGCGCCTGCGCGCCGGTGGCCTTGGCTGTAGAGTTCCGGGTAACGTAGCGGGTTGCGGAGAGCCGTTGCGAGACGCCGAAAACGATCGACGAAAACTCCCTATTAACGGCTCAACCTCGCCGGGAAACAAAGAAGTGTAAAGCGCAGGAAGGGAGTGGCCTTGACCAAGGCCTATCGCAACAGCGCCTGTCAATCGTTTGAGCGACGTCCAGAGTCAACTCCCGGCGAGCGGAAGGAGCTACGCAGTCGCCGAGGCGTCCCTACGCACGGAAACTGGGGTAGGGTTCGCTTGAATGCGGGGAGCAATTTCTGCGTTCGGTGGAGCAACGGCGACCAATCCTGTCTGTCGCTGGCCATCGCATCTGTTCTAGTGAAGGTAAAAGTACCCAGAAATACTAAAAATCTTAGTGGTCGCCGTTAAAACAAATAGCTTTTTTGTGTCCTTTTGCAAGAATCGCGCGGTTGACGGCGCTTAATGAAGGTGCGGAATCAAGTAGACGACCTGGACAAGGACGCCTGCTTGCTTCGTTGAACCCAAAGAATCTGCGGTTGACATAACTTAACCTGAGACAAAGAAGAAACAAAATACGTAAAAGGAAGGGTCAGCACACAGCGTTTCTGAAAACACCTGCGTGTTCGCAGGCTCCTTTCTTTTCTTTTCCTGTCTCAGGTCAAAGTATGTCCACTTTGCACGAGCTCGCCTGCGCGCTCACCTTTCTTTCAGACCTCCAGTGTAGTCATAACTGGCAACAGCAACTAACCTTATCTTGTCCCGAAAACCTCAGTAGAAAACTTAACCGTTTTTTTAGAGCGCAGCTCTTAGGCGCCCGTTTCCGGCTTGAGCGGCGTCGGCGTCGCCGTCACCGTCGCCTTCGGCGTAACCGTGAGGTCACGTGACCTCTCCCCCCCCCACCCCCCGAGGTTACGCGACCCCCCTCCCCGAGCTCACCCCCCCCCCCTTGAGGAGGGGGGAGCAGGGAGGAGGAGGAGACGAGGGGTGGAGGTGGAAGGATGAAGAGAGGAGGAGGAAGTGAAGGAGAAGGAGGGGGAGGAGGAGTAGCAGGCAGGATCACGAGGTGAAGGGGAGGAAGGCGGGGTGTACCCTCCCCTCAGTACCCTTCCCTCATACTTCTCAAGAGCTGCGCTCGCATTCGGTGTTACAGGGAGTTGTAAGCGGCTTTCAT